TAAATCATTGCATGTTTTTATTTACATTCAAAGCTTTTAATATAGGGTTGTAAGATCAATTAAAATATCTCCTTGCAAAGTATTTAAAAATCACATCACGATGTGAGGGAGACAGCTCAAACTGAAACAAATGAAATTATTTGTGTCCATAATTAACAGTCAGTCTTAGCTGATAGATGGACTCTTGCTGTTCAATTGCAAAGTGTTACAAATGTGCACCTGACCGTGTCGCGTGAACTCCAATTTTCCACAGAGCAGATTTATCTGAACGACGTCTGCTAGATGACAATAACAAAATACAAGGCGATGAAGAGTCACAGAGCAAAAGATCCACACATTATTGATTTATAACCACCAGATCTTAAAGTATTGACTTAAAGCTCAGATTTTTGTACATAAGAGCACTGCATCATTGCTCTCCATGCAGCATTTTCCATTTTATGCTTTCATCCTCCTTGTAAAACTACATAACGCTTGCCTCAGGGCTTTCATTCCCATGTGGAGTCTGGCAGGTGATTCACAGTGGTCATTTTGATGAAACAATTAAATTATACTGACACACGACTATTTAAACCTGAATACAGTTTTCAGTAGCTGATTTCTCCGCAACTGATTGTGTGAATATTTTTCACCTCTCAGAGGAAGATTATGGAAAGAAACAATATTTCTTCCTCAGTTATCAATGGAAAAAAAAAATCATGTAATTATAACTTTTGGATATGCAGAAATTACCACAATATTTTCAAAAGAGGGTCTCATAATTATGACTCACCATGCCATGATTACAACAGTGGGATTTTTTTTTATCTCTTTATTGTGATAGAGCTGTTTTAATTATAAGAAGAGGCCCCGTCAGTTCAGTGTTTTCTGGGGGTTTTTATAAGTGCTGCAAGAACAGGGATCTTTTCTCACAATAAAAAGATATTTTAATTTGTTGTTTTTTTTTGTTTTTTTTTATTATTATAAGCAGCATGATTTTCTACATTTCTGAGAATCGGCCAGTATTTATTAATATTTTATTCATAGTTATATACCCCGTGTTTGCGTGGGTTCTCTCCGGGTACTCCGGCTTCCTCCCACCGTCCAAAGACATGCAGTTTGTGGGGATAGGTTAATTGATTAATCCAAATTGTCACTAGGTGTGAATGTGAGTGTGAATGGTTGTCTGTCCCTGTGTGTTAGCCCTGCGACAGACTGGCGACCTGTCCAGGGTGTACCCCACCTTTCGCCCTATGACAGCTGGGATAGGCTCCAGCGCCCCCCGCGACCCTGAAAAGGATAAGCGGAAGCGAATGGATAGTTATATAGAATCCCTTTCTTTTTTTAGTACATTGTAATGTTGGCTGCTCACAATGTCAGCCATCTGTAAACTTTGTTTTGTTTTCCAAATGAGAGCAATCTGGCTTCAGACTTGCTCTATACTGGCACTTGATCAGGATCCCTTCAGTAGAAGTCACTAAATGTCTAAATGTCTGGTACAGACATTGTAAAAGTGTATATTCTTGTTCTTGTATTTTTTGACTATTTCCTGTTCTGTCCCTCTCCTTCAGAGAGAAACTGTTTGTACTGAAACCACAAACACTCCAAACTGAGTCTTGCCTCAACATCACCTGTTTTGCTCTGCCCACGTGAGAGTTTGTGCAGGACCTGGAGCCTTTTGGGGAAATAGACACCAGTCAGTCTCTGCATTCAAGCTCACCAGAGTAACTCAAAACCTCAGACTGCGTCAGAGAGAGGAAAAGGATGGTATGGCAGCAACAGTTAAAAGAAAGTGTCAGAGAGGAATGTCTGATCTTCAAAGTTGAACTGTTCTAATACAGGTATGCAACAGTGTTTTGGTGATTTTGAAAGAGAGCGCTTCTTTAACAATGCAGTTCAAAAGACAGCCTAAGTCTTCTTTTTTTTATCTCAAGAAGAAAAAACATGCAATTGTTAAAACTTTGGTGGAGTTGACAGAGTCATTGTATGAGTGGAACATGACAGTGTTGGTGTAGGACGAAAAGTGAAGGAATAAGATGGAGAGTCATTAATATTAGTGAGATTTCACTCAGAAATGTTATACTGATCTATATGATCAAACCAGTCTACTGCACTCTTGGGGTAGACAAATGCAAATTATAGTCTCCTAGAAAAATACAGTCAAACTTATTTCAAGCCCACTCTACCCCGAGGCTAACTCAGAACTGAGTCACACTGGTATCAATCAGTGACTTCTACCAGCTAATCATGGTAGCAGACCTAAACAAGCATCACACAGCATAGCCTTTCTTCTTTAAATTAAAAAAAATAAAAAATCATGATATTAATTCCTGCCAAATGTTACCTGTGCTCACCTCCTGGCTGTCACTTGTCATGTCCAATTTCCTTTGGCGGGTTCCTGTGATCACGCAGCTACCCTGAAGTCTCAGTGGAGAAATTCCAGTAAAAAGCATCAACATTTCATCATGCATTTTCTTTTTGAATCTTTTTTTGAAGAAGTTTGATGTTCACATCAGCTGCTAGATAAACACTGTTTACCGCCGCTGCAAATTTTCTGCCATTTATTTTTATTGTTGTTGCACTCTTTGCTGATGTTTTCCTTGTAAAACATGCTTGTAGCTGTTTAATATTTTCAAAGGGAACACTTTTTTCTTCACGTAAACAGTGTTTGAAGCAGTGACACAGTCAGCCATGTTTTTCAGTTTAAAAAAAAAAGTCAACAAAGCTGCGTAGCTTGATACTTAATTTTCGACGTTTTTGGAACTTGTCCATGATTTTGAAACTGCCATCTGTAGGTAGTGATGGGTTATCCCATAATACAGGCCAGGTTTGAGTTAGGGTAATTAAAGGGCCCTTTTACCCTGCTTGCAGCTCATACCATTCAAAAAAGGAAAAGAAACAACTGCCTCTTCTGCTTTTTCTAAGATGACTGAAATCTTCTGAAGAATAAGGAAAAAGACATGCTGAGAACCCAGTGAGGGAGAGAAATGAAAAAAAAAGTAGTGTCTACTTTCTAGCAAGGTAAAAAAGACAGATTCGAACAAATCTCTTGTAGCGGTGGTTTTGAATGTTCTGAATGCGCGTGCTTCATGTGGCTGGCTGCGTGTGCGTGTGTGCGTGTGTGCGTGCGTGCAGAGTGATTTTGATGAATGTGTCCTGACGGATGGTGTAACCCCCCTAAAGCCTGCCTCTACTTCCTCTCCAGCTCTCCTGTCATGCCTGCATATCGAGGTCAAACCACCTTTCAAATCTGTTCCACACTGCAATGGCACAGCACAGAGAATGAATAAACAGCTCGTAACCTGGAATTCTTCTACTTCCCTGTTTTTCACTCATTTAATGAATGAATGCTTAAAAAAAGCCTTAAATTTGTTTTTGTTTTTTTAAAAAGACATCAATTTTGTGTCATTACTCCTGTGTCAGTTCAAGTAGATGTCATGACCCAGGAAATCTGACATCAAAACCTCCTACTTTAATTATACCCCTGATGCAATTAATGAAAAATGAAGGGTCAAAGTGCATCACTCCTTAAGCCCTGAATATGTTGGTACCAGTCACTGCTAAATCATCAGTCAAAGCCTGATGTGTTCTTGCTGAGGTATCACCTACTTTCCAATTCTGTCAGAAGCAGCCTGTTTTATCAGTCCCCTCCTGCCATCACCCGCCTTTCATCCAAATGAGAGAAACACTGACCAGCAATGGGAAGGAGGTGGTAGGTTAGTATAACATTGAAGCGCAGCCTCGGGGCTCCAGTTATAACAGACTTTCTTCTCAGTGTCATTTAATTGTATTCCCCTGGCATCTGTGTGAAATTTTCTCTTATGAGGGAACATAACTTAATTTCTAACAAAAAAAGAAAAGAAAAATGTGTCAAGGGAGATACTTTGCAGAAGAACAGCTGTGTCATTTAGAGCGCATTTGGATTGGACGTAGATTATTTTTTCCTCCATCACTTGAGTTATAACTTTAGGTTTGAGACATGCAATGAGGCTTTAAACGCCTGTTTTTTTAGTGTTGTTGAATTATAAATTTTCAGCTATGTCTTGATAGTCTGTGTGGCCAACAAAAGTGTATATCTTTCCATTTTGTGCTATCATGTCTTACTTTATTGTAATTGTTAGCAGTTAATTCCACACTAAAAACGTTAATTCACTTATCAAATAAAAAGAACTGCAGAGGAAATAAAATGTGACTGTTTAGACATCAAAACATCTATTTTTGAGTGGTTTAATTAATATTTGATTTATTATATAGCAATATAAGTAATAGTATTTAAGCAAGTAAAGTAAATATAGTACTCATTATTCCACTATTTTCTTATATTTTACATGGGAAGCCTGTTATAAACTCGTGATACAGTGGATTGATTTAGATTAAGTAATTAAAATACAACTACAGCTTTTAAATTATTTTGAAGGCATGACTGACTCAAGTTAAATGCTTTTGCATATTTTTACAGCGTTTTCTCTTATTTAGTTTTGGACTCCTCTAACGTCACCAGACTCAGACTATAAAGCTTGTGCTTTAAGCAGGTTGAAAGTCTTTTTTTTTACTCAGTTTTCTTCCTTTTCAAAATCTGCTTGTATTACCCACAATTTTACCGGCTTCAGTTTTCTCAGAAATTTGAATGTCTGACGCCAATAATGGCAAATAACCTCAAGCATACATGAGTAGCCCCACATGTTCTTCTGTTTGCTTGTTTTTTTTAACTTGGTGTCTTAAAGTGACACCTCAAACAAAACTCACAGATGTCATGCAGAATCTGTTTGCGTCTCCCTGCCAAGAGACAAAAACGTTCTTTTTTTAATAGGTGGGTTACAGGAAGCTGCTTACCAATGTAGAGTTCCCATTTAAGTACACTGTCTAAATAATTCTTCCACCACTGGCAGCATAAATCAGGTAATGAATTACAGTGAACAGAACATCTTGGGTTAATATTAAAAACCTGAGTTCATACAAAGTAAAAAGAAAGTTTTCAAAAAATGCAAATGAAGTTATTTGGAAATTAATTATCTTGTGTTTTCTGTTGTACATTAACATGTTGCGGTAAATAGCTTCCTTGTGGTATTGCAGATTTATTATAGAAGACTGAGGAATCTGAATTATTGCCTCAGACTTTCTTTTGTTGATGATTTATACAGCTATGATATGCATTATGTACTCTCTGGCAGTCATTCCATTGTTAATCCCTCCCTATTCGCATATTCCTTTGGCCAATACTTGTCACTCATCCTGAAGCCTAGTAAAGCATTGAACCCGAGGTTGATGTATCCAGAATCCAAAAGTCAATTTTAGACGAATGATTGAGTTGGAGTGCATCAGTCTAGATAACTGTGGCAAAAAGAAGCATTTTCTGTTTACTTGTGCCAAATGCAGGGATCAAACCATGAAGGGATTTTCACATAGTGGGTTTTGTCTTTTGTTGGAAAAAAAGGCTAAACTAACAGATGTTTCTGGCAATTCAAACGTTTGCTTCAGATATCATGTTATTTACGATGTCTAAACATTGATTGATTTCTACATTAAATAAAAATATTGCTTTACTGAAAAATAAATTGTAAGTACAAAAACGAGCTGCTTCGCTTCCATGTTCTGCTCTTTGTATTGCCTTACCTACACAACTGTGACTTCAAACCTTTCTTCGTGTGTAATAGAAAATACACCAGCTGGCCAAACCTGTGGAAGACAGGTCAAATCAAGTCTTGGTGGGGCAGCAGCTTGTATACCATGCAACCAAGTAACCACAACGTTCTTCATTTTGAGTGCACTTCTGGTGCATGTCATGTCCCCTCACTAGCTGTTTCTCTGCCAACACTTCCTGTCAATCTCAGCTGTTAAGATGTTCAAAGAATGCAAAATACCAAAAGAAGAAACATGTCAAAAGAACAGGTCAGATGTGGATGTGCATAAGAATGAACTCACTTCCTGTTATGCTTAAAATAAAATTCTCCAAGCTGCACAGAAACCACCTGAAATCCCGTTAGCATGAATATCGGGTTCGCGAAGATACCAGCTCACTCTGATGCATGACAGCATTTTATTAGACAAATGATGACACACTTCACTGTTTAAAGGACAGTAGTATACATTCAGATCAGGTCATCTGTACAGTACAAAGATAAGAGAGAAATGTGGGAGAGGTGATGCATGACATCCAGTTGTGTTGGGCCAATGGCCACACATGTATTTAGGCTTCTATAGTAACATTTCCTCTAGCTGACATGACACTGCACCCTTGTTGTGTCTATCAATGCTCTCCTTGAAGTCTTTGGTCAATCTTTCTCCTTTTAGTTATTTCAGTCAGAGTTGAATCGGGCTCATAAAGCAGAAGCATTTCAGTAGTTTTGGCCTCAATGAGAAATAAATGATCACAAAAAGTAGTAATGCACACAGATTCCCCTTTTTTGTATTTATAGCATTAGATTATGTGATTTCTATCATCCAGGCATGTTGGAAGAGTCACTGGGGTGGTGCAGTGGCAAAACGCTTTAATACTGCATTTTGGCATTGTGTAACTTGAATTCTACAGGACACATTCCTTTTATGTCTCAAAGCTGTTATTTGAATAAGCTATAAGGCTCTGAAATAACTGCATTTGACTGTCTTGGTTGCACTGTCTGTAAGGCTTCCCCCCAGTTTTCATACTCAGTGGAAAGGCGAACACTGGATACACATGAAGTTATTAAGCAGCAAAGAGTCTTGTTTTTACAAACACTTTCCCTCAGTCATGATGGACATTAGACGATGATGCCATTAAAGCCTCTGAGTAAACAACAGCTTTAGCAACACTGAACCTTGAACAAAGGAACACAGACTTCACTTGTCATTTAAATAAACACCTACACATCAAATTTGTTTCAGACAACAAGACAACATCACATTTCATGTCAGGTTGGCCTTGTGGCTGCAGAGACATGCCCCTGCTTAAGTGTCCGTTAGAGGGTTCCAAGACAGCCCTGAACCCAGAAGCAAGGGCTGCTGCACAGAAACCTCCTGTGAAGAGGCAAAGAGCTGAGTGAACAATGAAATTATTATCAATACATCCAGTTACGCACGGGGAGAGACAAGGTGTGGAGTCAGTGTAATCCATTGGGTGTGAATGGTGACATCCTGTCAAGGCTGATGTCTGCCTCGCAGTCCTCCAGGTCACAAACCGAGTCGGTGGCGTTTTCGTGGTTGTGAGAAAATTGTGAAATCCTGTCGAAAGTCTCCTCATGCTCGATACATTCAACGACATTGGGGATCATATTCACATAAGCGTTCGCGATTTCTTTGTGGATGAGGGTATCTTGGTTATACGACACCAGCTCGTTGCTGATGTTAACAGTTTCCACTGGCGTGTTGGAGCAGAAATAGCGGCAGCCCAAGAGGCTGGCGAAGGCCTTCCTGAACTCAGCGTTGAAGGCGTATATGATGGGATTCAGGGAGGAGTTGGTCCAGCCGAACCACACGAAGACGTCAAAGGTCGTCTCGCTTACGCACGGAAGACCCGCATCCCGGTCTGCCGCCGGCCTGTCGCAGAACGGGACCATGCAGTTTAAAACGAAGAAAGGTAGCCAGCAACACACAAAGACACCCATGATCACCGACAGAGTTTTGAACACTTTGGTTTCACGTTTAATCGACGTTTTCAGTGTGTTGTGGTGTTGGCACTCTATTCTGTTGGTCCTGCAACTTTGCGCATGTTCTGCCGCTCTCTCCAGAGAGGCTATTCTTCTAATTTGTATTTGCGCAATCCGATATATCCTGGTATATGTTACAATCATAATTGCCACTGGGATATAAAAACTTATCAAGGAGGAGGATATCGCATACTCTCTGCTCAGACTGGAGTCGCAGTTTTCCTCTACCTGCCTACTTATGGAAGAGTTGTGCGCCCCAACCATGTCGTCACCGCTGGCTTTGTGCCAGTTTAGCTGGACCGGTATGAATGAAATGAGCACAGACAACGTCCAAGTGATGCTAATCATAACAAAGGCAACTCGCTGGGTCATTTTCCTCTCGTAGCGGAAGGGACTGGAGATGGCCCAGTATCTATCCACGCTGATAATGCAGAGGTTAAGGATGGAAGCGGTGGAGCACATAATATCAAAAGCAACCCACACATTACAGAAAGTGCCAAACGGCCAATAGCCAGCTACTTCTGCCACAGCTTTCCAGGGCATAACCAGGACGGCTACGAATAAATCCGACAGCGCTAGGGACACGATGAAAATGTTGGTGACTTTGGTCCGTAGGTGCCGAAAGCGCAGCACCGCGGAACACACCAAGATGTTCCCCAGCAGGGTCCATAGGATAAGCAGAGAAAGCAGACAGCCCGTCACTGTGCGTGCCACCATATCCCTTCTCCCGTCGCTTTTTGCCTCAGTTTCAGTACTGTTCCACATAATCTCTCCGAGGGGTGCCCGGGCAGAGTCAATACCCTGCACTGACGAGAGATACTTTGCTGGATTCTCCATTTGCTTCTTCAAGTAAAACTGAAGTCCATTGCTCCGTGCGCGGGGACGGGCTCAGTTATCGGCCAGCCATCGTTTTGTCCCCAATGATCAGCCTGGCTGCCAGCCTTATGTGGAGTGCGAAACAGAGGGAACGAGACAATTGCGCGTGTTAAAAGTGAGCCAGGCGACGTGTCAGGTGCGCTGAGGGGCTGAAACGCAGCACGTAGTGGCGGGCGCATGTTGCAGCCTTTACGGTCGGATCGTCTGACCTGGCTTCCACTTTGAAGCTTTCTGCACAAGATATCCTGAGCGTAGCGTGGGTAAGGAGGGAGTCCCAACACACTAACTTAGCCAGGGCTGTGCGCATACACTGACACTGCTGTGCGTAACACATGCATGTTACGCACAGCCGTCCACTGCGTCGGGACTGGGTAGAGAGCATTCGGTATTTTCAGGGATTTTTTTCTTGTGTGTGTGTGTGTGTGTGTGTGTGTGTGTGTGTGTACTCCAAAGAGAGCAATTACAAACTTCCTATCAGCTGCGGGTTTTCATCCAGTTATGGATAGTGTTATAGCCTGGTTTATATTTAAGCCCTATTATTACGACAGACTTCAGAGAGACAACACTGTGCATTTCTGTCCAAGATTAAACTTCATTAAAAGTCCAGAGAGCGCATTTACAATCTATATTATACACACAAAAGTACAACATACGCCCATGAAGTGACAGTGAAAGAACGGAGCCTCACTCGTAGTCTAACAGTGCAGAACTGTCCGTGGTGCTGAAAGCTGAGAACCCCATCTATCTATCTATCTATGTAAAATTTTCAGTGAATAATGAAAATAATAAAACCCATCTAACACATCTTTAGGTAATATGACAGGCTACTTAGATACTTTCATTGCGTTTGCCTTATTAATTTAAAAAAAAAGGTGATTTTCAACTATGGAAGAATTCTTTTATCTTTTCTTTTTTTCGGTATTCTTTTGTCTCCCGACGGCAGCGACTGAAGGTCATAACCCACCCATTTAGCCGAGTTGTCCGAACAGGTGAGTCACATTCACACTCCTAGGGAGCATGTTAGGCCGGGAGCAGCTCTGCGTCGTCGTGTGCCTGTGCAGCAGACGCGCCGTTTCCGGCTTTGAAACGTCACGGATATTTTTAGACGCCTCCGCCTGCCTGTCAAATCGTTCTGACACAACGTTAAAATCATCCCCCGACGCTCAATGCCATATTCTCTGAAGTAGCATAAACATAAGCTCGTGATGCCATGTCAGGAGACAACCTGTGTCCGACACTGCATTTCCTTTTTACGCAGATAGCACACGTTAGTTATCTATAGACGGGTTGGTGTGGAGGTCGCTGCAAAAGATGACTGATATTTTGCAAAGTGTATATTGCGGATTACTATTTCCAATTTAACACCAAACTATAGGACTTCTATTTTGAAGTCACAAATAGAAGCACAATTGTGCAGTTCTTCGTTGCTGTTGGTATGCTTTGCAACTTTGTATGTCTTCAAATCTAAATCTATCCTATCTTTATCACTTATTTTTTAAGAAATCGTAAAACAGTCATTTAAATGAAGACTATCAGGCAGTATCATTTGGATAATCCAAAGCAGTCTCAACAAAAGACATAAATACGTTGCGCCATCCTGTGGTGCGTAGGCACACTGCATCTGTTACCCTTCCAGACTTTTATTGAAGAGTGAACAGAGTGTGTAGCAGGTTAAGCAACACGACATGACATAAAGATAGTTCTTGTTTATTTCAACAGGAAAAAGATATGAAATTACCACTAACTTTAGACATCATTTCTCAATAGCACCATTTAACTGAAATTTCACAAAATCATAGCGCACCCTTTAAATGATTTTGGTCAGTATAACAGTATTTACTAAGATGGCAGAAAAATCTGCAAAACAAAACATTTTGCACAACTTGGCACATATTGAGAGCACATACAGTATATGGCACCAGGCTGAGAACCTGCTGAATGTCTAAGATTATTTGGTGATCTGATACAAACTAGTACAGTACTATTATATATCTGTGGTTTTAATAGAGGAGAAGCAAGTGTTGTCATTTATATCAGTGTGATGGTTTTCATTTCTGGTTCTTCAGATGTAAACATCAGTCCACAGTGCCATGCAGCAGTTGTCACTGCAACAGTTTGTTTTGCAAAAATCCCATCCTTATGCACAATCGTGTTAATGCACATTAGTTCAGTGTTATCAAGGTCCAGAAGAGAAGCCTTTTTTAACACAACTTCTTGATTAGTTCAACAGAGCAGCAAATGAGAACGCAGTAAGACACTGAGGAACCTTAAATGGCTGAGAAAGGGAATTAAGTGCTACATCTGAGAACTAATATCCAACTCAAAAGATGATTTAATTTGTTTGTGCTTAGATTGGCACTTACAACTTAAGTGTTCACTAACCTAACTACTTAGGCAAGCAAATGAGAACCTTATCCATGTAAAGTATGAACATTTTAAATGCAGATAAAGTAAGGATCAGGTGGCACACCGCTGAGCTTGTAGCTGTTAAATACAGTACTATTGGATATTGAAAATAATGAGTGTTTATGTAGTTCCTCTGCAGTCTTTTTATATATGGTAATCATGTTGGTAGGGTGTTATTTTATAATAGTAATTATGTTTTCAGTCACTAATATGAAATAATATAGAAAGTGTATGTCAGCTAAAGCATATATTGTACATGATCCACCTGTTAGAAACCCCACTGTAATGTTACTACAATATAAAAAGTACAAAGAACCCTTTCTAAATTCATAAAACCAAATATTTTTTTCATCACTAGCTTTAACAACCCTTGCATTACACTAGCTAATTCTTTAAGGAACCAGGTCTAATAGGTTTGTCCTCCTCTGCAATCCCCACAGTGAGGGATCAACGTTTGTCTCCACAGATTACTTTCAAGTCTGTTGGACTGTGATCCAGACTGCCTCCTGAATGGTTGACCTGCGCTGTGACACACTCTCGAGAGCCAGTGGTGACAAGTGTTCGTGTGCATGTTGCCATTGTCAGTCATCTGCTATTTTGTCAGACTCTGGAGAACACCTCGAAGAGGGAGGCAACTGCATGCATGCGGTAGAAAAGGTTCAAAGGGATGGCAAAATTGAGAACTGTGCTCCATATGCTGAAGCCATATGTCTCCTCTTCCAGTCCGTTGTCATACTGTGGCCTGCAGCCAAAGGCAGAAAGAATCCACAGCTGAAATGGAAAAAAGAGAGAGCTCTAATTAGATACACCTGAATTCATATAATTTTAGCTACTTAGGGGCAGAACAACAAGGTAGAAACACAACAGTGTCATTTTATAAGGCTTAAAGTTGCCTGTTTATATTATTATATTTGAAATTCAATTAGCCAAAAATGCTGTAATTAGTCTCTATTACCTCTATTTTTACTTTTGCTACCATCACTCCTGAGGAAAATATCTCAGTGCTCCACTACCTTCACCACAAGCTAGTAACGTCCTCACTTTAGTTATAATCTCAGTTATAGCTAATGATTGTTACACGTCACATAACACTTAATGGAGAGTTTTGTATCTGTTGTTGATGAGAGTAGTGAAACTAAACCAAAACAATACAAATGTGGCTTAAGCATATTAAAATGAGGGTGATCGGCATGGAATCCCTCTTTGTGTTTACCACTATGGCAATAGTGAATAGCAAATATATTAATTACAGAAGCTTAAAATCAACAAATAATAACTTTTGACTTTTGGGAGTTATCCTAGCAAAAAGAAATGAACTTCGCATTTTGTTGGGTAAAATACACTTAATCAAATGAAGTTTCAAATGGTCAGTAGATTTTACATCAGCTCGATCAATTCCACCTATTAAAAAACTAATCATCACAGACCAGTTAACCAGTGCTTACCGAAATGTTACACATAATAAGGAAAACAGCAATATTCTTCAGGATCTGCCTCTTTATATTTGGGCGTTCCACTGTTTCGTTTCCCACAGGCGCTGGCACATCTGAATGTTTCCGTGGGCATCCATAAACCTGCTCACTCTCCTCCTGCTCGCTCTCAGTAGAGACACAGCTCCTGTCTGGAGATTCAAAAGTTCGGTTGATGATGCCATTGTACGGCGGAGCGAGAGAGGAAGTGACAGAGAAGACTTCTGGAGCAGCTGGTAACTCTGGGTCCTGCCTCTCTCTATCCTCTTGCTGGCGATACAAAGACTCTATGATGAAGAGATTCTGGACGTATTTCTCCAACACAATAAACAGAGAGTAGACCAAATTTGTCCAGCGGTAAGGAGGGTTGCTTCCGGTGCTTAGCACAGACACTATGCTGCACCATGACATGAACCAGGAGCCAATGGAGGATCCAAACAGCACCTCCGTGTCCAGCTGTCTTGACGGGTTCTTGGAGGTGTCCAGCGGCATGTGGTTCACTCGGTATATAAGCAGACCCGAAGCACCGGCGCAGCACATGACCGTCAGCATGACGATGGCATAAATGTAGAACATGGAAACGGCTGACCTTCGCATCTGGATTGACTTCTCTACATGAGTAACGTAGACCACCAGTATTCCGATACTGCTGGCCAGGGCAAGTAGACCCACAAGAGGACCTAAGATCAAGCCCCGGTTTTTGGCAACCTGCCTTTTATGGTTTGAAGTGAGGTCAATGGTGCGTCCAATATTTCTCCACATCACGAAAAGCAAGACAGAAACAAAAATGTGGTATTCAATATTGAAGGGGTAGAGATAGTAGAGGCTGGTGGCGAACATGGAGCATGTGCTGGTGGTGCAGTTACATTGTGGTTCTGAGTACTCTGTAAAACAGTTAAAAATGTGGGCAAACACATGAGTTACAGGGAAATAGAACAATAAAAAGAAGCTGACTATGCCAGTGCTGTCTTACATTAGTACAGCCTGTCTGTTTTTTAAGATAAGAACAAAATGAAAGACATGTTAAGCAATGATACTGTTCTGAAAGCTAAATGTTAGAAATAAGTTAAATGTAAAATAGAATGAATAGTAAATCTTTTACAGGTTGACAACAACAAGAAAATGGATTATATTATCATAAAAAACATAAAGATACACAATAATCATTCAGATTCCACACTACAAGTATACACACATATGCCATAACAGAATGTCTATCTCGAGGTTTAGTATTGTCTGACTCAACATCAAACATGGCATGTACAGGTCAGATAGCAATGTACAACCCCAATATAAAAAATGCTGGAATACTGTGTAAAGTGTGAGTTAAAATTAAATATTTAAAATAATATATTTATCACACATTTATTATTTCATGAAAAAAATATTTGCTCATTTTGAATTTGATGGCAGCAACATGTCTCAAAATAGTTGGAATAGGGGCAACAAAAGTGTGGAAAAGTAAGTAGTACTGAAAAGAGACAGCTCAACGAACATTTTG